GTTGTTTTTTTATATTTATATTCATGATTGCAATGTATATGATGATAGTGTAGACAAATAAAAAATGATATTGATGAATGTAAATTCTTTTGTGTGAGTATATATATAGGTATATGTTTATATATGGTATGGTATAGATTAGAAAAATAAAAATAAAAAATGTTAGGAACATAGGTAGGAAGATGATGGTTTTTTTTTGAGTATAGTAAAATTTAAAATATTTTATTATATTTAATAATAATATTATATATATATATATTTATATAATATTTTTATTTTTATTTTAGGATGTGTAATAAACGTTACCGATATACATAGTTCATTTTTTTTTTTTTTATATTAATTGGGAAGTTTAAAATATATATTGAGATTTAAACTATCCTATCTTTTAAGTTGGATGAAACTGCACACAGTGTGAAAAATTTTTATTAAAATCGGTTCAGTAGTTTAGGAGTTCATTGTGGACAAACAACGTGACACACAATTAAATATATATTAAGAAGATATATTATTACATTTTATTTTATATATATATATATATATAAGATAGAGTTGTAGAAAATTTATCGATAAAAGTTTTATAAAAAAAAGGGTTGAATAAAAATTAAAATTACATATACCCCTTTCTTCATCATAGTTATCCATTTGCACATTGATTTGTTGTAAAACAAAAAAAAAAAGAAATAAAATAAAATACATACACACATATAAAATAAGATAAATCTAAGGTTAAAACGTGCTTTAGAAATACTTACACAGTTTATATAGTCTACAGTCACGATTTATTAAATTATGCAAAGAGATCATAGTACGACAGAATCAAAAGTTTTCAACTTACGATAATATAAAATACATGTACAGGTATGTGTGTATGTATGTATGTATATATGTTAGTATGGATAGGTACACGTTTCAATATGTACCTCTAATTATATAATTGATTCTATCGTAACAATAAAGGCACAGTTGCAATTTCTACAATTCTCTAGTAGAATAGTAATAGAAACATAGTTGTATATATAATAGTATAACCATAGTTCGTCCTTCTACTCGAAACTACGAGCATTGCATAGCATAGTGATCGATATACACCCTTTTTAGTCCTAGGCGTCGCATCAAGGCGTCCGATAAACCTCGATCGATATCACATACTATTATTTCGCTAGTTTTGCACCACGTTGCACCACATACCATTGCATTATATACATATATTTAACATATATATATATATATATATATATATATATATATATATATATATATATATATATTTGATAAAGTTTCTTGGCAAAATGTTGCCAAGCTTTTGAGATACTATTTTAAATATCAATTATGTGTTTTTTTTTGCTAACCCTTCCCTCCCCGCCTTCCTATTCTTTTAAAATAATTTTTTTTTTGTTTAAAATAATATTACTATCTTTATTAAATATTATTAATGAATAATTTTATTTAAAATTAAATTAATATTGCAATATTAGGTTTTTTTTTTATTATTATAATATTTTCTATATTAAATTATTATTAATACTAATTAATATTAATTTAAATTATAATTAAATTAAGATTGCAATATTATGTTTTTTTTATTATTATTATTATATTTTCTATATTAAATTATTATTAATATAAAATTAATTAAAATAAAATATAATTTTGCGACTGGCTGGATTCGATCCTACGATTTATTAAAAAATTCATTTTTTATTGGAGTAAGGCGAGCACTTTATCCACTGAGCTATCACAAGTTTTGTCAATAATTAATAATAATAATTAATATTAATGTAATTTATTACGAATTTTTTTTTTATAAAATACTATTTTTTAACCTGATTAGAAAAAAATCTAATTGATAAATCCTATTAAAATGTTTGATAAAAAAGTAATAATAATTTATTCTTTTGTCATGAACTAACTAAAAACGATTAAAAAAATTCTGACAAATCAATTGTTCTCTCAACTATAATTAAACTTTTGTTTTCACGAAAATTGGTAAAGTAATTATTTGAAGAATTGTTAGTAGAAAGAATAAAACATAAAATTGGTAGAAAAAAAATGAAAAACAAAAAAATAATAATAATAATAAAAGTAATAAAAAAGAAAAAAAAGCAATAAAGTTGCAGAGATATTTCAGATATAGAAAAAACTATTTGCAGATGTTACAATAAAAAATAAAAATAAAAACTTCATACATATATATATATATATATATATATGTTTGATTCATTGATCGCAATTATTGGAGGCGACGAGGCCATATTTTTATCGGACAAGATAAAACCCTTTTGGCGTTATCCCTTTAGCAAGTATATATACCTTTGGGAACTATTTAAAAAGTAGCCAATCAATCCCCACCAATATCTTTCTTCCTCTTATCCCCCCCCCCACCCCACCCACTGCATCACCACAAAGTTTGTCGATCGTTTAAACAACGCGATATCTTCGATAAATATTGGATATTAAAAAAAAAGGATAACACATTGAAGGTAAACTCTTATAAATGACGTTTTTAATAAACGATCAATGTTTCTAATACCGTATCGCGTGTATATGCACACTACCATTATTATACTTGAGATAATTGTCAACTATTATTAGAAAATCTTTTTTTATCTTTTTTCATTTCTTTCATTTCATATTACGTAACGACATTATTCAACTTATTTTAAAAATTATTAATTTTGTAATTAATTATTTATTCATTCAGTTTAAACTTAGAAATCAAATTGCGATATTAATATATTATATTTTTATTTAGATTATTTTCATTTTTTCATTATCAAATGTAATTATTTTAATTTTGACAAGACACCCTGTATATAATATGTATCTTTATATATATATAATTTTTGTGTGCGTGTGTATGTTACTGAACTCCTCCTAAATGGCTGGACCGATTTTAATAAAATTTTGGATATGTCTTCAGGTGGATTAGAAAATGGTTTAGATTTACAATTTGATCTAATTGAAATTGTTTATTTAATTAATTTTTTATTTATAAATTGTTATATGACAAGCTTATAGGTCGATATTTGTTGTTGATATGATACTTTTCGATATATTCGATTATATATACGAATTATATATACGAATCTTATTTCGTATCTTCCACAGTGCGGCAGACTGCGCTACGATCGCTTTTAATTCCAGTTTGTCCCGACAGTTGGTGTTGCGATCAAATTCAGGAAAATATTTTGTAACTTCGTGTTATTATTGTGTTAGAAAAAATGGTGTGCTAATTGAAATATTACATTAAGATTTATATTAGTGTTTGAATAGTTTTGAAGTGTGCATAAAAACTTGTTCACCTTTAATTAAAATAACGTTTGTTGGGTCCGCTAGTATTTATATATAAATATAAATATATAAATAATACGTTTAGTTAGAAGTATTATTTTTAAACGAAATGGATGAAGGAAGAAGAAGAAGAAGAAGAAGAAGAAGAAGAAGGTTCACTGACTTATGTTTGGCGTGATATCAAACGTAAATTTGATTTTACACTTTGCCAAACGTTTTAGGTGTTCGTTCATTCGTAAGACGATCTGACATATTCAGAATTTCGGGCCACGACAATGATAACGTTACAATTTTCACACCCACGCAATACAACTCACTTACCAACCCCCTTTTCTCCCTAGTATTCGATAAACGAATAAGAAAATCTCTGCAATCACAATCAACGTTTAAATAGATTTGTAAACACTTCAACACTTTTAATCAAACTCTTTATATTGCAATTTAATGAAAAAAAAAAAATCTAAAAGAAAAAATAACATTGAAAATGAAAAGTAACAAACCATAAATAACAAATCTAACTCTAACTGAAACTCAATATTTTTTTGTTTTCATTTGTGTTACTCGTACAGCATTTAATTCACGTTAATTAAATATCATTGTTTAAATAATTTGTCAATGTTTAACTAAAAATTATTATTGTGTCTATAATTATATTATACAAATTTGAATTTATTTAAATGTTCAAAGGGATTGAGAAAAGTTTTTTTTTTTTTTTCGACGCTCGTAACAGTAACAACCACATTTTACGGTTTTGTGAACTAACTTTTATTTATAAAAAAAAAAAATAAAAAAAAAACAATTACGTAATAAAAGTTTGTCAATGTTTAACTAAAAATTATTATTGTGTCTATAATTATATTATACAAATTTGAATTTATTTAAATGTTCAAAGGGATTGAGAAAAGTTTNTGCAATTCAAAAAAAAAAAAAAAAGAACTTTTCCAAATTCTCATTCGCAATATTACAGAAAAAAAAAAAAAAATATTAAGAAAGTTATACAAAATTTTGTCTAATTTAACAAATGCACTCGTGTAACCAACTTGCAATTAATTTTACAATTACATGATAATAATATTCAAATGATTTTTATACATTGTAAAAAATAAAACAAAACAAAATGAACAAGACACTTAAGATTTGATTAACGTGGAATTGAAAGAAAAAAAAGCTGTATTTTGAAAATTCGTTTTTACTAACAGTGACTAATTAAATTCAATGACGTTGACTCGAGCAGTCGACAGGGCAAGGGCGTCATTTCGTGCTGGGCTGTCAAGAACCGGTGTCGTTGGTCCACCGAGGGTCAGAAATCGGCCAAGAACACAAAGCAACTTGCCACATCGTCTCGCAGATGGGACCATTCTCGACGAGGATGCCTCTGAGAACTGGTAAGTCATATTTTCATTCAGATTTTATTTATAAACAACAATACTAAAATTCATTTATTTTTTACCCTTTTTCTACGTGAATAAGCTCAACATTTTTCAATATTGTCTATACAATGGGTTTCAAAACTTTTCAGTTGTGTTTCTATGTGATTGGGTCAGAATTTTGTTAAATTTGATCTATAAATGTGTTAAGATCAAAACTTTTCAACCTTCCACTTGGTTGACTCGAAATTTGTCCAAATTTAATTCTATTGCCAAATATCTTTTTTTTTTTTTTTAATTATTAAAAGTGCGTTTAGATGTTAAACAATTGGAACAGATTTGGTATTTTTTTTTTTTTTTTACTTGGATTTTATTTTTAATTATTTTTTATTCATATAAAAATCATTTATTCATAACATTCACTGAATGTGTTAGGATCAGAACTTTTCAAGCCTTCACTTAGTTGACTCCAAATTTGTCAAAATTTAATTGAATAATTGTCAAATATTTATTTTTGATAATTAAATGTGTTTCAATTTGAAACAAATGAAACAGATTTGATTCTTAAATCCTTAGAGAGAATTGTAAGATAAATTAGAAAAATATTTCTCGTTTCTCTTAAATCCAAATGTCGATGGAATAATATAATATTAATAATTAACTAGACCAGGTGTGTCGTAGATTTATTTTCACGTTTTCCCAGGTGTATACGCATAACGTATGTTAGACTTTAAAATATTGTAGAGAGAGAGAGAGAGAGAGAGAGAGAGAGAGAGAGAGAGAGAGAAATGTAGGAACATAAAACACAAAGTAATCCAATTTTCTTATACTAAGCTCGAAAAACTTTTCTATCTTTCGTCTAATTTTGTCTAACCTTACACATTCTTCTCACCCCTAACCCTTAATCCTCTGTAGTAAAATAAAATCGTAAAGAAAAAAATATTTCACGAATATTAAATGAAATCTCGTACTATGGGATGATTCTAAAAAAAAAAAAAAAAAAAAAAAAAAACACGTTTGTAATAAAAAAAAAAAAAAAGAAATAAATGAAATTAAAAAAATAACTGAAAAGTTAACAGGCACAAAAATTGTTAATAATCACTGTAAAGATGTTTAATAATAAAAGAAAAAGAAAAATAAGGGATGTAGATAAATTGATAAGTTAACTTGCAATCAAAGAAAATTGCAATTGGATTTCGAATTTTCAAGGGAACCATAATTCTGTTATAGAACGTGCCACGATACAATTTTAAATAGATTTTCACGAACGAACTACATTAAATAAAAAAATAATAAATAATAAAATACTTTGAAAAAAATATTTAAAAAACAAAAAAGAAAAAACTAAATTTCCAATGTTATTTTTTATTAAAAAAAAAAAAAAAAACACCAATGATAAAATGACCACACTTGAAACAACCTGTATTTTACGATCAGATAGAAAACAAATGTTTCTTTTATCGAAATACAATTTCTTGTTTATTTTGTATTTTTTCCTTTTTTCTTTTTTTGGGTGAGGGTGATGATGATGGGTCTGAGACGAATTTTGATTGGTCAATTTGTAATCTTTTTTTTTTTCCTAACCGACTAAAAATATTCTCATTCTTCTTGTCCGTTTGTCCATCAGTCTGTCAATCTGTCCAGTTGTGTCAGTCACTCGTTTACAGTTAGCCAAAGCTTTGTATGTTCAACTCACCCCTAAATCAAACCTTCACCCTCTCACTCACAACTCTCTCAACGGGAATTCTTCTAGTTCGACGAAACTAATTTCCGTTGGACGAATGCGATTGATCGATCGGATATTCTTCGTTTGTAGCAATTCCCGGATCCGTCCATTGTCCTGCAACGATTCCAATCGGACGACCAATTTAAACCACTGACCTCTCCCAAACTTCGACTATCATTCGAGTATTTCTGATATCTTCACTTTTATCCTTCGGCGTGATACGAAAAACTTTTTTCCTTCAACATCTTTCCATTCTTTTCTTATTTTATTATTCTATCACCTTTCTTTATTTTCTTTGGATTTTTTTTCTTTTTTTTTTCTTTTCCCTGAATTTATTTATTCTACCCACGTATCAAAACTTTTATTTGGTTCATGTTGAATAAAAATAAAAAAATTGCTTCGTGTTATTTAAGATAAATATTTTTTATTTTTTTTTATTGGCATCTGTAGCACTTGAATACGCCATCTGGTAACTAAATTGAACATTAGAGTAGATAGGTCGAATTGCTACGATGTCACGTGGGATCTGTAGCACTTTAATACCGCTATCTGGTGACTAAATTCAAAATTAGAGTAAATAGGTCGAATTGCTACACCACATCCCTGCCAGAGATCCCAATATATATACATGATGTAACCCTGAGGCAACCCTGACGCAAACCTGACGCAACCTTAACACAATTCTTACCTTCATTTGCCAAAGGTTAATAATACACTATGAATTTTGACAAAACTTTGACAAAAGTAAACTCTAAACCCACTCTGACCCAACCCTAAAACAATTCTGATACAACTCTAACACAATTCATACAAAATCCTGTCATAACAATGTCATAACCCTGACTTAACCCTGACAAAATGAAATAAAATCTTAAAATACACGTTTCCAAATATTTGGATATAGAATTACAGTGGTGTATAAATCTTTTACCATGAAATATGGGGGAGTAGAAAATAAATATTTAAAATGATGAGGTGAATGAATGAGAAGGGTGAGAAAGGTATGGGATAAGTTAGGGGAATAGAGAAAACATGTGACATAAACTATCGTCTTACTATCGTCAAAGGGGAAGTGGTGGAAAGTACAAGGAAAACGACAGAGAGTAATGCGATGTGTATATGACCTTGAAGACAACGGACAGACCACCACCACCTCCACTAGCAACTGTCGGTGACAGGACAGGTTCCATTCTTTCTTTGTACAAGCCACCCCCTTTTATCCACTACCCCTTTTCGTTTTCTCAAACCTTGTCTGTTCTGTTGGTCTGTCTGTCTTGGTTCGTTTGGTTCTCTCTATTTCTCACTTTCAAGGTCAATTTAACTCCTATCTTCCTTTTTTAGGCTTTTACTCACACGCGAATAGGTGAAACGATTCGAGTGGATTTTAGGATATCACGAAACTTCCACTGACATGATCGAACATACAAGCGATTAGGCTAATCTTAGGATTTCATCTTTTCATGGGACACAAGTAGTTTTTTGATATTGTTTTTTAGTTTTTTTTTTTTTTTTTTTATTAAGGAATTAATTGATGGTTGAATTTATTTATTTTTTATTTCTATTTCTATTTTTGTTTTATTATTTTTTTTTTCTTGAGGAATTAATTGATAGTTTAAATCTATTTATTTTAATTTCTATTTATTTCTCCTATTAATTATTTCTTTTTTCTTTTTCTATTTTGTCAAGGACACGTTTAATCTATCAAGTTGTGGTTTGGTATTTTTTTTCTATGTTTTTTTTCTTTTTTGTTTTTTGTTTTATGCTACATCAAACAACGTTGATCGCACTTATCACGAAATTTCAAGGATGATTAGAAGGAAAAATTGTTGAGGGTTAAAGGTTGGTCTAATCTTTTTATGGGATGGATGAAGGGTGGTGGATTAGGTCAACACAAGTTCCTACACGATGTGTTACATTATAATTGGTTTTACGTGCTCCACGTTGTTTCTTCATTTTTTTTCCTTCTTATTTTTTTTTTTCCTCGTTGTTTTGAAACTCACGATAGTTTTTTTCTTTCTTTTTTTTTCACGCTCGAATCCTTCACGGTTTTTATTTCTTGTTCTTTTTTTCTTTCTTCCTTTCTTTCTATCTCTATCTCTAGCGTTTCAAGTTTGCTGATTATTTCAAGGACAAGTGTTTTTTAATCTATTACATAAGTTTTTCTTTTTTTTTTTGTTTCTTTAACGTTGTACGTCGGTCAAATGCTAGCGAATGTATCATTTGTTTACTTATTTTTTATTTCAACTATCAAGTTTTTAATATCACGAACCCTTATAATCGTGAGTTGCCCTAATCTTGGGCCCAATCATTCCCTTTTTTATTTGACAAAAGTTCCAATAATTTATTTTTCACAAACTTACTTTTCATTTTACTCAATTTGTTGATAATTTTATTCAATGAGTTGAATTTTGATTAAATTTCATTTGAATTAATTTATTGGATTAAAAAATGATTTAATAATTCACACACACACACAGAAACACACAGACACTCACAGGTACAGATACATAAAATGAGAAAGCAGAAGAAAATGAGGCACATGAAGCACATGAAGCACATAAAAAGAGAAATTAAGTTAATTTTTATTATTTTTTTTGAATTGATGATGAATAATTAGAAATTTGTCTGAAAGTCAGAAAAAAAAAGAAAGAAAAAAAAAACGATGCGTCATCAGTGACTAATCCGTAAAACTCCATTTAAATAAACGTCGTGAAAACTAAACGTGACAAGGAATGAAGAAAAGTTTTTCACTTTTTCTGGGTTGCCAGTGTTTCAAGGCGAACCAGTGTGTAGAGTATGATAACACGCAACGTTGCACGATGAAAACTTTCATTTGCTAAGGTAACAACTACTACTATGACTACTACTACTACTACTACTACCTTGTCAACTAACTTTAAAGAAAAGAAAAAAAACAAAGTAATCCGACCAATTTTTTTAGATTTTACAGTTAAACCATTTTTTTTTCTAACATTTTTACTTTTATTATTATATTTCTATCGTAAGTTTATTTATTTTTTTTTTTTTAATTCAAATTGTATTTAATTTTAATCCTAAATTTTGTTTATAAAAGTCATTTATTGTTTGCCAAATTATAAATTAAGGATGGATGATAAAATTATTATATGTGCCCCTAAAAATAAAAAATATATAAAAAAAATATAATTTGATTTAGTAATAAATATAATGTGTATAACTTAAAATACAAAATTTTAATAAAAGTAATTCATTTGCTAAGGTAACAACTACTACTACTACTACTACAACTATCTTGTGAACCTTGAAAAATATA